ATAGGCATTAAATCTATATCAAAGCCTGGGTTAACGCCCTTTTTAAAATTCACACTAAGAGTTGATCACAAACCACATATAGCCCTCCAAACAGATGTGCTATAAATATTTATTATGTTTGAATCGTAAATTGTATTCTTTTTCCCATTATTAAAAATTACAAAAAATGTATATATTCAAGAAAGGAAGGTTGCTGAATGATTCTGATTAATGGTCACATGGATCTCCTCACCTCTGTGCGGTTGCATGCAGAGCGGCGACAAGTCATGCATGAGCTATTCACACACATAAAAACCAAATGAGCAAACACCAACAATTTTTTTCTTCTTCTTTTTCTTCGAGTAGTGTACCAGGTAAATGGCAGTCCAAAAAAAAATGATGGGTTTTGGGGCTGTGTAAATGGGCCTTTCCTGTATCGAGGCTAGCAATACCACGATGGATTACCACAAGACCGAAACCTAAAACCTGTGGACTCTTCACTCGAAAACCAAGATGAGCAAATGACAACAGGTTTTTCTATATAGGCTTTTCCACTGTGTAAAAGACAGTCCCAAAATTTGATGGTTTTATAAAAATGGTTTTGGGCTGTGTAAATGGGCCTTTCCTGTATTGAGACTAGGGATACCACGATGGACTACCGGACTACCACAAGACCGAAACCTAAAACTTGCGGACTATTCTCTCAAAAACCAAAATGAGCAAATGACAACGTTTTTTAATGGGTTTTTTCACTGTAGTGAAAATGGCAGTCCTCAAAAATTGATGGTTTTGGGGGGCTGTCAGTGTAAATGGGCCTTTCCTGTATTGAAGCCAAGTGATACCACGATGGACTACCGGACTACCACAAGACCTGTAACCTAAAACTCTTGGACAACTCCTAGGGGTTACCACATTGACTCTCCCGGATGGTATTACACCTAGGCCATGATATTGGAGATAACTCTATGACCTTGCCTTTGACCTTGGTTTGATCAAGGTCAAAGGTCATTTTGGCTCTTCAACATGTGTATGCGTGTAGGCCCTTTACTTCAGTTCCCAAGCCACAAAGGAGCGGTATGCCAACCACATGTGGGCCGGCTTGTATCTTTCCGATCCCTCGTAAGGTCCATTTTGACATGCTGGTAAGATTTCAGAAATTCAGGCACCTCAATAGGGGTAAAACTTCAAAAGCTGGTTTCCGGCTATAGGTCGTGAATTTAACATTTCATTCATAGAAATGCTATGAAAATTATAAAGTAGTTTTGAAGAATAAAGAAGAATAAAGAAAAAGACACCACAAAGGCGAAAACCATGTTATAGTTTGACAAGTAACAAAAAGGCAAAACACAAAGATGTGGAAGCATTGTTGGACCAAAAGAACTTGTTCTTTTTTTTTCCTCTCTCTTTCTGTTCAGTTTAACATGCAGTAAATTTATTTGAAAAGACCCATAAACATTTTAGATCAAATTTTGAGCCAATTATATTTACCTAAGTATAATATTAAGTTCCAAATATCAAATTATGAATAGTTTCACTTCACTGTAACTTACACTGTAGTACTACCCAAGGAAGAGATGTAGGCCAACAAGTAGTCATATAAAATTACACTGAGTTTACTTTAATTCAATGATCCATATATTTAATGTTCGATAGTATCAATATGCCTGCATTCTTTGACGATCTTTGCGAAATTCCTCTGGAAATGAGCATTCTAGGCTACCAAGCAATGTCACAATCACCCTCCATCCACTTTTATGTTGCCCTCTCAGAGACAGAAGAGCTTTGTTGAAATTATACGAGTAAACGCCCTTCTGGCTCCAAGCACACAAGATATCTTCGCCACAGACAAATTTGGCACCTTCTACAAACCAGCTCTAATTTATTGCAAAAGCGACAAACCACAAAACTATCCAATCATTCAAATGATGATATTAAAAGAGAAAAGGAACGAACGCAAGCCTCATGATATTGAAATATGTATCGCTGTGCCCACATTCTTTATTTGCGTTTCCGTTTTTTTTATGAGGGAGCTGCAGTTTAACAGGCTCAAGTTTATGGCGGAATGAGTCAATCTTGATTATTTATATTCTGCGGCAGTCAGTAAACTCCGAGGCTGCTGGATAAAGTGTGGTTGACACTGCTCAAATATTGCATGTTTGTAGAAAGAATCATTGTCTATGGCAAACAAAAGAGGTTTCCGACTACTACCGCACTTTGAAGAGCGATGAGATGGCTCCGTCAGTATACACAGATAACCCCTATGGTACCCAGCACAGTCAATTAAAGCTTTATCGAAATCTCCTCCATGTCACATTGAGAAATAGAAATAATATCATCCATGGACTATATCATAAAATGAGACATTACTGAAAGGCACCATTTTCAAATATAAGGAAATTGCCAGCTAGTTTTGCATATTCATGGTTTTTAATTTTTTTTAATGATTATCAGGCCTGCTTTTGCCTCTTGGCATAAACATACACGGCAACAATACCTGCATGCATTGCAAATCATTAATCAGTCACCCATAGTACATAACATTTGGGTGAAGCATTTGAGCAGGAACTCAACCAAATGAATAGAATGAATTCAAATCAGCCAGAGGCTAAAAATACCGCTCAAATAAAAATAAGTGTTTTTTAAATAAAAGAGGTTATCTGCATCCAGATCATCTTCATGCATGTTTTAGTCATAGGTCTAATGCTGCATATCAATTTAGTAGAAACGTTGAGATGATGGTAATCATTGACTGTTAAATCATTAATCACAATGGACGTTTCTTCACTTTGAATATGGTGTATGGTTTATATATTAAAGGTATTAGGCTGTGAGGTGCCTGAATGAAGGAGTTATATGGTCAGATAGGACTGTTCACACAAATGAGATGTAAACAAAGCATAATAGTGCAGGTATAACAGCTCACTGTACTACATTCTTCTCGATTCAATGTCCCGATTGAAATTTACATTGATAAGACCTATTTAATACATTGACCTATTTAATACCTTTGAAGGGTTTTAGGTTTTAATGACTAACTCTGTCATTGCACGACACTCAATTTAACGTTCTGACTGTTTTCTTTAGTAGTCATATCTTTCACATTGAAAGCTTCTAACAAGGGGTTAGGCTCACTTGGCATCATGTGACGGCAAATAGCCAGAAAATTTAACGTTTTGCACTCAGAATTTCACCTCTTGAAATGTCAACATCAGCCTATTGGTCACTAACTATTTTACACATTCTCATCAAATTAATCTTGAATTAGGTGTGCTAAAGAACGCATCGAATGCAATAAATTAAAACAAGTATTTATGATTGATTCAGCTCCCTGGGATAACTTGGCAACAATCTCCTTCTATATAAGGCCGACTTGTCTCTAGTGCCAAGTTAGCCCGCATCCTTTAAATAACTGAACTATATCTCTTTTGTTGCATTATAATACGAAATCGAAAGTTCTCGTACCCTTCCTTCTGCAGTGGTCAATTCCTTTCAGATTGAAGGTTGGGTTATTGATTAGAAATAGATTAATCAGTGGGCAGTGGCACATAACTTTGTCATCAATAGGCCTCCGCCTCTATTTTAATAATACCTAATGGTCTTTGAACTATGCCCATCATTTGACCCTCGGGCCTTGTTGTCCAGATACGATGCAGCAAAACAAGGCCTGTTTTCATCAGCTCGAGATTGCTAAATATGCCGCTATTATAACTACCGATATCCGATCGCAAATTATCCACTTAATTTGCATCTTCATCAGCCTGAAGTTGCAATTAGCGGGATATTTGGTGGAGATAATCATCCCAAGATATCTTGGGCTGGTCTGCAAAATATCCTGCTATTTGTCCTGTGTGACTCACACTACAGTATGCGCGAATGCTGAGCAAAATATCATGAGCTCGAGTTTCAAGTTTCGAGGTCGAATCTCGAGCTGATGAAGACGTGATTTGTAATTTCGGGATTATTCCCCAAATCAGAAATAGCGGGCTATCTCGAGCTGATGAGGACATACCTATTATGGCATGTTTTACAATGACGTAAAGTGTAATACGCTTCGCATTTTCTATCTTATAACACGGACCTCAGTGAATATGAGCAGGACCTTTGTTGCAGGCGTTTGCCATTTCATTTGCACGTAAAAACAAAACAAGGGGCAGCGGCTTTGTGGCGTTTTACTGTGTCCTTTCTGATCGAGCCTTTAATATTTAAAGCATGAATGTGTAGGCCTACATGGACATGTAAAAAGGTTTCGCGCCCTCATACAGTATAAGTCATGTTTATTATCAAGCTACTTTTTAAAACCAGTTTGAACCTAGCATTAGATTCACCTCTATATATACCGATACTCATAGATGTACACTACATTGTAAATCTTACTAATACATTTCAGGAGTATAATATATTCATCAAAAAGTATCAATAAAATCACCAAACCTTGTGAAGTATCATAATATCAATAGTATCACATTGTGCAATAATACTTTGATACATAGCCTATGAAATATGAAGGGCAACTATGCTGTCATGACCATCTAAATACTAGTAACTCTTAAACACAAATCAGTGACTGTTTACACAATACACTTGAAGTCATTCCTCACTATGCAAGAAGAAACCCAAGCCCTTCCCACTCTCCTGCTACCCACTTTAGAACGTCCACAAACAAAACACAGAGCAGGACAGAGAGTCAGATAGAAAGTAAGACCAGGAGAGAGAGCTTTTAGTAGCTATCTCTCATAAAGTGTAAACAAAATAACAAGATCACTTTCCCCTGCATGTCCGTCAGCATATCTAGCCATTACTGTCGCTCAGGTTACGAATATATGTCATGGAATACTCATCATTAAAATATAAACAAAGCTACCAGCGAGAATAAGCGCCACCGAAAGTCCTCCTCCTCCTCCTACAGTCAGTCGGCAAGTCCGTATGCAAATGAGCAATATCGCTGATTTCGTCGAAGTCGTCTCGCGGCCAAATTCCCGATCTCGAATGGTCTCGTGATATGCGAGAAATATAGTCACACAGTATGATGGCTTGACGTTTGCAATGCGGTGTGTTATGGTTCATCATGGTGGGGTGAGTAGTTTGGTTGATTATTGAACCTTATTCTGATAAAATTTTGCAAATTTTACGTGCTGGTTAAGTCATGAAATATGGATAGATTCAAATTTCTTCGTTTTTTCAGGCAAATTGCATGTCTTTGGGACAAGTGTGCTCTTGACCCGATTAAAGAGTTAGCCCCAAAATAGTCGAGTCGCACAGAAAGAGCAGATTTTGCCGAATCTGACAGTACCAAATTTGTTTAGGCTCAAAAAAAAAAGTTTCGAGAAATATTGACTTGAAAGTTGCTGATTTTTCGGTAGTTTGACTCCCCGACTACCAAATTTTGGTCACGTGGTTACTGACTTTCCCGTATTTTCGCCATTTTTCGAGGGATACCGAGCCCGTACCGTGAGTTGCATAAATGTCTCTACAGTCCCGTACGTGCTCTTTTGAGTTGGTTTATTGTCATTTCCGATCATATGACTATCGACATCGCGACAATTATCATAATAAATACATGTAGGTAGATCTAGTTCTGTAATCTTACTAACATTAAAAATACGTCGTGTTAAAGTTGTTGAAGTTGTCCTGAAATCTGAATAAACTAGTTGTCATTCATTGCACTGCAGATGCACAAACTGCCTGGCGCAGTGTGCTGGCTAAGAGTAAGAAGACAAGAGTAGACAAGTCATTTGTCATGAATTGAAGACATGATGAAGAAAGTGTGAATGTGATTGTGAAATTTAAATGAATCAAGACTGCAACTGTGCATATTGAATTTAGAAATAACATATTCTCTAATATTTCTGTAATACTTCGGCAATGCCAATCAGAACCAACGTCCTGTCAAAAACCAAAATCAAATTATTGTAGGCTACAGCCTACATACAGTCTTAAAATTTCCTGAATTTTAATCAAACACAATTGTTAAATTTTTGAATGGAATTGTTGCCATTTTAAATAAAACCTCAATTTTAAAATGCTAAAGCAACGACTTTTCTCTGTATGGAAGAGGTTTTGGTAATGATTATGTTTTACTTTTATTCATGGCTGCATACTCTCACTCGAGCTTTAGTTATTTGTAACTTTGAGTAACAAATATAAATATTGATATTTCATTCTGTTTGTTCATCCCCAGGACCTCCCGCCCGGCACGGCCTAAAGTACACATATATGGTGACTCTATAATACGCAATTTGGACTGTCCTGAGGATTTTTTTGATGTAAAACTGTTCTGTAAACCAGGAGCTACTGTAAAAAGACTTGTATATTTTATTAAGAATAGAATTAGAGACGCGTCGGATGCTGATGTTGATTTTGTGATTTTGCACGTTGGGACCAACGATCTTTGCGAAAGTGTTTGGGATTGGACAGGAGTACAGTATTTAAATCTTTATAACGTTGTTCGGGAGATCTTCCCAAGTTCATATATTTTGTTTAGTGCCATCATTCCTCGTTGGGACAGCCAGGAGCTCCACGATAACAGTATTTATTTTAATTTAAAGCTTCACAATCTCGTTACAAAATTGCCATGTACCTGTTTTTTCGACCAATCGGAACTATTTATTAGAACTGACCGCCTGTTTTCGCATGATGGCCTGCATCTGAATGTCGGTGGCAAGTGTGTTCTTGGACGTGAACTTTTTAATAAACTCCATAACTTGCTTGAGCCTGTGTCTGTGGCACGGCGGTATGTGCCCCCTGAACTCAAGCGTCTGTGGACGCCCAAGAAAGTAAAAAAGGTGAAGAAGCAGGAGGAGAGCAAGGAGAAAGAGGAGAGCAAGGAGAAAGAGGAGAGCAAGGAGAGCGAGGAGAGCAAGGAGAGCAAGGAGAAGGAGACTAAAGAGAAGGACAGCAAGGAGAAGGTCGGCAGGAAGAATGAAGGCAGGCGACATCCACCACGTCGACGACACTGGGGGAGGCGCCCAAAGTGGAGTGTCGATTGGGATGGGAATGTTACGCCGAGGAAGACTGCCCCGCAACCAACAAAGGTAGAATTGCCCCCTGGAAGGTTTGTTCCTGAAAATCGGTGTAATGTCCTCATCCCATACTTGCATCTCAACACATGCTACCAGAGGAAGATGGCGAGAGAAATATGCACCCGTCTGCCACAGCCATCTAGTCCTTACATCCTACGAAAGAGGAAGGGGAGGCAGAAGCACCGTCGTGACGTAGCATCCAAGAAGAGAAAGAAAAGGAAAAAGGTAACTTCTGCCTTTATTTTTATGTAATAAGTAGTTTGCTCTTTAGAGTTTGTTGACTAACTTAGAGATGATTGGTACTTAAAAAGCAACATATTACATGTATAATTTTTAGGCTTTTGATGATCATTCTTATTGTGTACTCTGATTCGTGGAACACTAAAAGCTGTACATACTGTATAATTGTAATTTTAAGCTCAACTTTATAAACAAATGAATTTTATGTTTCGTGTATTGTATGTACAATTGTACATACTAAAACTTTACTAATACTATACATGTACATAAATTACAATGTAGATACCAAGATAACATAATTGATTTGAACATACATTTGTGCATGTACATGTATATCTTTTGAATAACTTCATGTTTTTAATAATTATCATTTATGCAGAGAATACAATGTTGGACAACAATGTGCCCCCACGCGACTGATCCAACTTCTGTCAGCACTACAATCAAGTCAACCAATGTAAAACATCAAGCGACCCGTCTAGAGACCACATTTGTGTTATTGATCCATGTACTTTTTATTTTGAGCCAGCAGCTGGGGTAAGGAAAAAGAAAAGCTCAGGTGAAGAAAAGGCAGTGTTTAGGTGTAAAAAAAACAGAAGTGACCCTTGTGCAATATGTAATCGGGCAATAGTTTCTAAATGTTTCCATCTTTGGTCTGCACGTTCAGATAAGTTAGTTAATATAATTCGTTCTAAACAACCTGACATACAAGATGATCAGTGCATTTGTAATGCATGCCGACAAAAGTATACAAAAAAAGCAGACAATCCTGAATATACCCCACAAAAATCAAGGAAAAAAGAAAGGCCTCCATGTTTTCTGTCGCATGATTTTTTATGTCACAATATTTCTGAGCTTGACTCGAGATTAAATGTGGAAGAATTTAACAATACATTCTGTCTTAATTATGCCACTCTCCCTGATGAAGTCCCCCTTTGCAGAAAACACAGATCCCACATAACCAATTTTTCTGGACTCGGATACTGTTGTGTATGTTCTGTCACTTTACGTCCAACTGTTAAACGCTATGCTTTGTGTAATAATCAAGAGGTAGACCTGTTCAAATTACGTGAAATTAATGATGAACTCAATGTCGATGACAACAGTATAATTTGTAAACAGTGTTATAATCTATCAACCAGGAATTCTCCTGAGGTAGTTGTACACACATTAAGTGATATCAAATTTACTTTAGACACAGAGTTGGTATTAAATGACACACCAGAGTCAATTTTATTAGTAACTTGTAACCAGACCCTAAAGACTGTATATTCATGGTGCATGGAAAATCATGGATTCTTATTCATGGATGCTTATGACCTTTTTTTACAAAATCTTATGACCAATTGCCAAACCGACTGGATATATGATGATTGTTATAGAACAGTAACATGGTTTCGTGGGAAGATACAAGGAACATTCCAGAATGTATTATCAAAACACAAACTTTCTAGGCAACATGGATTATTTTATTATATTTCTAATGTTTCCACAGAACAGTTGCTGAATGCTGTTCACTATGCACATGCTAAAATCAGAATTCTCAATAAAGGTGTAGAAGATGATAATGTTGATATTACGAGAAAACATGGGGAAGGTGGTTCTATGGACCTAATGTACCAGAAAGTCATCCTTGATGCCAATGAAAGATTAGTTATGCAAACGAAAAATATTACGCAAACTTATACTCAAAACCCTCTTTCCGTTGATGAATTCAATTTTGATAGTGCTTTAGCCAGCTTCGACCCTTTGATCTGGAATATTATTTCACTTCTTACAGCTAATTTAGAAGAGCTTAAGTTTTTCAAAAAATCTTCTATCTGTTTTACGAAAGATTTCATTAAATTCCCAAATGAAGAATCATCACATGGGAAACGAAGAAAAACGAGACGTGTTGTTGCCGTATTCATCATGCAATATGCCTTAACAGATTTTTCCACTTATCCATTTCATATCATCATGGCAAATTTGATTAAAAGATACTCACATTCATCCACACTTTTGAAATTAATGAATCAAATTGGGTTATCTTGTTCAGAAGCTACCTTGGAACGATTTTTACAGACTGTGCAAGATTCCAGGGATTCTTCAGGTCTTTTATCTTGTCTGAATGAGAGTGCGGTAACCCATGTTACTATAGACAACATCGATGTTTTAGCCTCTTTTGCAGCAGTTAATCCTAATCAACCACGGAGCTGGCATGGAACCTCTATAATGGCACAACAACCCAAACCAGTAACTGAGTTGTTGCATCCGACATATGAACTAATTTCTCAAGTTAATAATGATAGTTCAGTAATCTCCCAGGTTAAAAGTGATGGAAAGAAAAAGCCGTCGGCAAGAAAAAGAATCAAGTTACACGACCCTTCATTGGCAGTTGGGAAGGATTACTTTCAACCACCAAAATTTAAAACATACATGAGGTCCAATGTGTCTTGGGAAACATTTACTATAAGTGACAATGAAAATGTCGCTTTAAGTTCAATATGTGATAAGATGTTTTTGTATGCTGCAGAACGATTTGCAACTATTAATGACAATAGTATTTTAGTTCCAAGCTTTAAACCAAAGTTAATTGTTGAAAGTCGAAACCAGAATATTGAGAAATCTCAGTTTTCTTATCTTTATATCCTTGACCATAAAGCAGATCATCCACAGACGTTGAAATATTGCATGGAACTGCTTTATGATCTTTTTCAGGTGTCAAAGAAGGTAAATCATCTGGTTGTATCTGGTGATGGTGCAACCTTTAAAATGCTATTGGAAATAAAGAGGGAGTATGGGGAGTCTCTCGATTGGTTTATACCCTACATAGGAGACTGGCATTTTCTGAAGAATTATCAAGAGGTTATCATGAAAATATTTTGGGATGCTGGCCTACGAGAAATTGCCAAAGCAACTCACAAAACTATTACACTTCAGAGTCTTTCAAACTGTTCAAATTTTAAACGAACCCAGCGTTTCTTACTTCAAGCACATGAAGCTCTTCTTCTATTTCAATTCAAATGTTTCTTAGACTACAGAAGTGGTAAAGCATGTACATACACAAACGATATGTTTATGCAGCAAATTAAAGATGTTGTTAAGTTATTGAAGGTAAAAGATGGTGTGTTTGATGGTAGCGCTTTCAGAGATTCTCAAGAAGTCTTGCTTCAATCTCCAATGTATCTCTCGCTTAAAAAGGATTTTCATGATTACTGTACCGAAATGTCGGATAAATATGAGACCTTCAAATTTTGGAATGCATTTATTCATGTAGATTGCATGGCTTATATTCAATTGTTTTTGGCGATTCGTTCAGGGAATTGGGACCTAAGGAATGGTGCGATAAAGCAGATGGTGCCTCTTTTCCATGCTTTTGACCGTGTAAATTACTCAAAAATGATTCCTCATCATCTCGCTTTGATGGAAGCTTTACCGGATCACATACTAGACCATTTTAGGAGAGGAGCTTTTGTAAATAGTATAAAAGGAATGGAATTTTGTTCAGCTGCCCTAGATGAGAGCCACGAAATGTTAATTAATAAGGATGCCAAGGTATGTTTATGTAGAGGTTTGCCAAAGAATATGCAGAAGGTTGCAAGTAGTATTCAATATCAAGCTAAAGTAATTCAAAATTTTGGTACACAGTTGCAGTTCTCTGAGGTTTCCAACCCTGTTCATAGGGATTTGTCATTGTCTGTTATCAAATCAGAGTTTGCAAATGTAGTGTGCTACTACAAGAAGGTAGGAGAGAGTGACATGTTTTCACCTGAGCAAAATGCTGTGCTACACCATGCTTTTAATGGTGCATCTACATCGAGCATCCAACAGAACGATCTTCTCTCATATCGTAAAATCGGCTTTGATGCCTACACTTTTTTTTGCAAGTCCCAGGTTCTCAAAGATAACAGTATTGCAAAGCCAACTCTTCATAAGCACACCTTAAAAACCTTTTCAAAACCTAAAGTTTCACGGAAAAAAATAACAAGTCTTGAAAAAGAAAAAAAATTGATAACCCTTTGTTACAAAAGAACTATTGCATACTCTGCAGAAAAAAACCAACCAGTTCGTGCCTTATGTCAATTTATAGCAAAACCTCGTGCATTATGTGGACATGACAATTTGCCACACAAAGGTAGCAAATACATAATCTATGATATATTTGAGAAGCGTTATGTGGATAAGTACAAGGTTGTTACTAATGCTCCTTCTATTGAATTTGCAGAGTCATGTTTTATAGGCGAGGGAATGAATATCATATATTCAGCTCCCCTTCCCCATACTAGAGTTTTTGAGGAATATGTTTCATTCATTGTTTCAAGATGGATATTGTCATATTATAAGAAAGGGTTCAAGGAAGTACGTATTCTTTTTGATCAGGTAAATACACAGGGTTTATCTCCCAAAGGAATAGAGCGGTCTAGACGTGATGATGAAGAAAACATTGATAATGTGTTCGAAGATATAGATGACAATACACCACTCCCATCAAATTGGTCAAAGTTTTTGAAATGTCGACGCAATAAACACACACTGATCCGTTATCTATCAAGAAAATTTTTAGACTTAGTAAAGCCTCACTTAAAAGAGGGACAAGTATTTGTCACCTCTGGTGGATTTCATGTAGGTCTTGATACATTTCCAGATTGGTCAGGAGCTAAAGTAACAAACTCTGGTATTGAAGACCACCTGAAACACAACCATGAGGAATCTGATACACAGATATGGCTTCATGTTTTCGACACTGTGTGCACAAGTATTCTAATATATTCCATAGACCGAGATGTGGGTTTAATAGGGTTACCCTTAAAGTTCAATGGCAAACTAATCTGCATCCAGTATAAAGCGAGGGTAGGAGATGAAAGATATTTGAATTTGAATGCTTTACAGGATGCTATTTCATCAGACTCTGACATGTCTCCATTAGTAGAAAAGCAAACAAATTTAGGTTTATGTGTGCAGATGTTGTATATTAGTACAGGATGTGACTTTGTGTCTTATTTTGCTCGTCTGGGCAAGAGTGCCTTTTTCAAAGCATTTTTGCAATACTCCTCATTTATTTGCGGAGAAACCACAAGAAATACATTAGGAAATTTAACATGTACTGATCTTGAAAGTAACATTGAACAAGGATTACTCTCCTTTTATAGATTAGTTTTGTGTGTATATTACAAGGCTAATAGAGCTTCATTGCACAATTTTGAATCTCCTTTTGAATTATTTAACAGTGTAAATGATGCAACACCCCTTCAGCAACATTACAATGCTTTAGAAATAGTAAGAAAGGCATCTTGGACTGGCTCGTACGAAGACCAACTAATGCCTTCCAACTCTGCATTGAAATTTCATTGGCTGAGGTCATGCTGGGTTAGTCAGGTTTGGAACAGCTGCACTGTACCAAATTTTCAATATCCAGATATTAACAGTTATGGATTTGTTGTCATACATGATAATGGAAAGCAAATTATAGATGTTACATGGGATACTGACGAAAATTTAGAGAAAGTCCGGAACAATATGATGTATCTAACTAGGGGTTGTGGTTGCAGCAAAAACAAATGTTCAACTCGTCAGTGTAAGTGCAAAAAGAATAATCAGTTATGTGGCCCAGGGTGCAGATGTAGAAATTGCACTAATATTCCAATCCCTTCTGAAGAGTTGCATGATGATTCAATTTCTTCATCCTCTGACGATGATGACGATGAAGAGACCGATGAAGAAGTCGATGAATGCGTACATGTAGTCGATGAATTGTTAAACCAAGATACTGATTTTCAGGATGGTGTAACCGATAACCACTTTACATGCTCTGATCTGTCTGAAGACGAGTTATTTTAGTGGTATTTGAAATACCTAAATATGTAATTCACCCGTAACAACCAGACATTTACCGGATACATGAAATACTGGCGATGCGGAGGAAATCAACTTTATTGATGTGTAATAAATAGAGACAGTCTGCCTAACCTCATTTTTTATACTACGGGTCATGCAGATTTTAATTATATTTTGCTAAGATATGTAACAATGAAACCATTTAGGGGACAGGCCAGTTCCCATTCTTCCTGTGTGTGATGTAAACATGTACATGTACATAGTATTCTATTTTATATACGTAAATTTCAAGTTTATTGATTTGAGACACAGCACAAGTATTTCAACAGTACTTTACTTTGTATACTATAGATACATAACCTAGTTCCAGCTTGCTGGAGGAAATATGCCAAAGAAGTCTTTCCTGTCATTTTATACTTTTCTTACCATATGTATGTTGTATGAGTTGTGATTGTTTACTGTCAACATTTTCTGAATTAAGAAAGTTGTTTCTTGCCTCTTTTTCTTATGATTCGATAACAAGATAATTTGTCTGCCTTGTGCCAAAAGGGCCTCATGACTATGTTGACTATGACTATGTAAAGTCAATTAGGCTAAGGACGTTTTGTAATAGGATCAATGCTTATGATATTATATAACAACATAAGGTGTGTTTAACAAGTATGTAAATATACATTTTTATTGCAGGGTTTATACCTACCAGTAGCCCTAACTTGCTGAAGGAAACTTGCCAAAGAGTTAGATGTCTTCTGCCATGTTTTCACAGAAGAATTTGTGATGATACTATTGTTTGCTTTCAACATTTACTTACCGTTACTGAAGAAGATTTCTTGCCTTGCTACTGTTACTATGACATGTCATTTACATATAACATGTTTAAGTTATTTTGAGTGAAGAAAGTTATCAATACATATTTGTTTTGACATTATACAGGTATATATGAGAGCATTATCTTGCTAGACTAAATTTAACTTGTCGGAGAAATGCATTTAAGGTGTCATATTATATTCTGCTGTGTAATGTATGTGTGAAGAATTTTTTGTCTTCTTCATGTAGTCTGTTACTTTAACATTTTTGTACAAAAGAAAGTGTCCTACATCTATTCAAAGTGGATCTCTGACAAGATATTGTATATAATATGTGTAAGTTATATTGTGTAAGTATTTATATAGTTTTTTTTTTTTCATATGGTGCAACTCCTATCCTTATCTTGCTGGAATAGACTTGCCAAAGAAATACTCCTGCCATTGTATTCCATTATGTGTCTGGATCTGCGATTAACACTCATTCAATACTATCAGCATTATTTTGTTGAAGAAAATGTATTTTGAACCATATCATGATAGACTGATATCTTTTATTTTGTCGGGGGAGAGATAGAATTATTATGCCATTTGGTCGATCTGTTAATATTTTTGTCATACATTTGTCTCTTACAAATTGTATGTGCATATTTTACTTGTATACTTGTGTGCTTTATCTGCATTCCAACTTAACTTAACTGAACTTAACATTCTTGTTGTTCATTTATGGAAGTGAGAATTTTCATGTACGCTGACTTTGTTTTATAAAGTTAGAGCCACGTCTGCGTAATCTAATGTGTGTGATATTCAGGGACCTGCCACTTATTTGTTGTACGCAATGTATACCATTTGATATTCATGTCATAAACTTATGTTTACGAGTTAGATTTATTCTTTTTCTCCTTTTTATATAGTGTTGCTGTCAAACACCTTGTTTTTTAGTCTAGTTAAGTGGAGAGTGGTTGACAGATGATTGAAGATGGAATAAACGAAGAGAGTGAGGGAGAGAAAGAGAGAGAGAGTGAGGAGTGGTTGGAATAGTACGAGAAGATGTACAGTGTGTAGGGCTGGATCCACAGTTTTGAGAAAGGGGGTGGGGGATGCAGGTGTGGAGCTTTTGCATTTTTCATCAAAGAAATATTGCTTGGCAAAAATAGGGGGTGTACGCCACCCCCCCCCCCCCCCCCCCCCCCCGGGATCCTACCATGGTGTGCAGAGAGAGAGCGTGAGATTAAATACATGAAGACTGAAATAAGAATGAGAAGGATTCCAACAACAAAAAAACATTAAGAAGCAATCTCAAATAAAGGAAAATTTGATTAAACAAATTAAATATATCAATCAAAAGTAAATTTTGATCGAAAGATATATAGTGGTGAATTAGGGAGGGTATTTCAGGGGGACCCGTTTTTCATTAGTAATCATAGGGTGTGGGGGCATTGGGTTTTTTGCTTGTCGGATAATTTGAGCTGCGATATAGATCTAGTTCATAACAAAAATAAAATGAACTGACCCCCCCCCCCCCATCTCTTTCTTACTTTATTATGCTTAAAAACTTAAATCCTTCATGAATAGTTTATCCTTTTATTTGTGTGTGGAACCGTAATTACTTTGCCATGAAATAAACGGCGGCAATGAGATGTGCCATACGTCAACGTGACCCTATAGAACAGAGCTCGGAGCTAGAGCTAGACTTCGTTGGTACACACGAGCTGCCTACCATGAAAGTGGTTATATGGGACTAGACAATCGGTACTTCTGCTTATAAGAAAATACCTACTGAGATTTAAACTTTGAATTTACGATGAAATAAAAGAAAATTTGTCTTAAGATACAAATCAAGAAAGTAATTCGTTAAAAACTCTCTCAAAAGCGATATTTTAGAGGAAATCGAAACCGAATCGTTGCCGATGAAAATAACGTCAGTGAGTAAGCGGAGATAGACCAATCAGAAGATCGGATTTCATTCGCGGTTCCACGATCTAATCTAAACTAATTTGAAGGTGGACAAGGTGGGGGAAAAGCGTGCTCTTGACCCGATTAAACAAGAATCTTCATAAAAGTGAATATTTTTAGCTAGATTAATATATTTTTCACGGGAATAATGTTCAAATCCGCAGGCTCAGAGATTAATTGAAGGAAAAAATGGATTTTCCCTACACACAAATGAAATGTATTTCTTCGGTAAATTTGCCAGTAGTTTTCGTCCATTTATTTAATTTTTAAAATTAAACAAAAATAATATTATGGCAGTTTCATCCTTACTCTTTATAAAAATGCTTAAATCTCAACAAATGGATACATTTTGACCGAGTTATAAGGATTTCTAAACACACGTTCAAATCGCCAGTACGGGGTCAAATTGAGGTCAACGCCGCAGAGAGTTCTATGAAAGAGGCGACTTTTTGCGGGCTTGCCGACTGACTGCCTACTTATTCTTCTTCATTCTCCGTTACGTCGATCAGCTTATCTAGCCATTATTGTAACTTAGGCTACATACGCGTCATAGAATACTCATTGAAATATAAAGAAAGCTACCAGCGAGAATCAACGCCACCGAAAGTCTTCCTCCTCTTCCTTCTCTTTCTTCCTCTTCTTCCTCCTCTTCTTCCTTCTCCTCTACGTCCATCAGCCTATCTCGCCATTACTGTCGCTCAGGTTACATACATGTCATGGAATACTCATCATTAAAATATAAACAAAGCTACCAGCGAAAATGAACGCCATCGAAACTCCTCCTCCTCCCCCATCTCATCATCACCAACATCCCAAAGAAGGATGTTACTGTACCACCTCACGTTCAGACTATATGTTAATTAAACGAAACACGTCTAAAGAAACGTATAAAGAATCGTTGTATAGCAAAAGGGGTGAACAGCCTGGACAGCAATACCAAATAAAGAAACGTTGAATAGACACTTGTCTTGAAGAGGCCAGTTGACATGAGAGCTAGCTGGCCAATCTTCAGTGCATGCTCACGATAAGCCCCGCCCATTTATACAATTTTCATACGAGCTGTGCAGACTAGAGCGGAACCCTGATTCCTTATCGAGTTTTCATTAGAAACGATGCTTAAAGATCAGGTTAAGTTCTGGTCACAGCGTGGAATCGATCAAAAAAGGATGACCATCTAACATATAATTATTGGTGTGTACCGAAAAGTTCTGGAATCATCAAAATGATAAGAAATTTGGCCCAGTCGTGGTAAAGTTACAAGCACTGTACACAGAAAGATGTACCGGTATATGGACTACACGAGCGTGTGGCTTAAAATCCGTCCAGATTTTTATGCTGTTACATGCCATATTTAGAGTATTAAGGCATTAAGAAGAGCCACGCTTTTCAGGGAACATTTATAATCTGATGTTCTTCCACACTTGCATAATAACAATGATAACACTCACAAATTAATTTTCACCTCTTCCCAGAACTCAACCTTCTCTTTAAACCTGCGTTTCTCTTACAGCTATACAACGATTTTCGGTTTCGGTTGTGTGAACGCACGGTGAGAACTCATCACAAGCATACGAGCCTCAATTACTAGAATTAGATGCTGGCCTGACCCATTTAAGCCCTACCGGCGGTGCATTTAGCAGGCGATTTCAGCAACAGATACGGGAGCGAGTACTTGAGATCTCTTTCTCGTTGGAAACTATTAAGAGCAGGTGACACACACTGAATTTATATCTTCCTCGTGAAAGGGATCGTTGCGAAGATTTTGTACAAAAAACAAGACAGTTCTGCTGTATAGATACACAAAACCTTTATTAAAATGTGAGAGTTTGTTTCATTTTGAAGTTTATTCCCAAGGAAGATATTTCAAAACCATTTCACTAATCAACAAAGTACAATATTACAAACCAAAATGAACTGTTGAACTTCATATATGACCATCCTTAGATAAAGACTTGGTAAAAGTGTGTCGTAATAGCCCTAATACAATGCTCGACATTGATAACTCAATTATTTACATTTCATATCTAGTGAGGATATCTAGCTTGAACTGATCCTACTAAATTGTCATCCTTCATATTTTAAATTAATTCTGCATATATGCACAAAAATCAAGCTGGACATTCAGTTACATGTTAGGCCTGCTTACTAAATATTTTAACAAACAGAAAATTAATGATGTCACAATTTTTGTCGTTTTCTGTTCATGTGTATGCCATAATCCTGACCTCAAATTAATCTTTGAGTGTTTGTAACAATATCTTTTCATTTACTCTTTGCACGAGGTTTGTAACTATAGACTACCTAACTTAAGGTGAACTTAACGACCTTTGGCCACTGGCAAGGTGAAGGTTAACTAGGTTTGCAACAAAAAGAGAAGAAGGAAGAGTGAGAAAGAGAGAGAAAGAGACGGGTGAGAGAGAGAGAGAGAGAGGGAGAGAGAGGGAGGGAGAGAGAGGGAGGGAGAGAGAGGGAGGGAGAGAGGGGAGGGAGAGAAAGAGAAGAGAGAAAAAGATAGAGAGAGAGAGAGTGAGAGAGAGAGAGAAAAAGAAAGAGAGAGAGAAAAATAAAGAATCGAAAGAGAGAGAAAGATTTGAATGAGAAAGATTTAAATGATAAAGATATAAGCCTGTATTATATTGTACAATTTCCAATATCCTCATCATGAGTAGGAGGAAAATTGAGAAGTGATTCAGGTACTACAAGACTCATAGAGAGAGAGAGAGGTCACAATGCAATTTGATTTTATTGATTAGTTAGTCTGGCCATATACCCATACCTTCCACTCCAGAACCACCAGAATTGAAATTACAACGCAATGCCGATTTTTGATTAAATTCCTGAATGTGTCCATTCACATGCAATGAAAACCCCGACTGTGGATCAATGTTTCCATACAGATTGGGTTTCCGAGCTACTACGAAAGCCCACAGCTCATCACAATACCTCTCTCTCTCTCTCGTATAGTAGCCATCCTCACTCACTCCTGCCACCATGTTTCAAGAAGTTCTTGTCGACTAGAACACACCAAGCCAACGTTCATTTACACCCTTAATCTGACAGGTGGATGATGGGGGTTCTGCCCAACGCCTTCGCGAGTCCCGCCGCTTCACTCCTCCGCGGTGTGAAATGCAGCCTGCAAGCACCTGCCTGTAGATTTTGCCACCATGTCGTCCGTCCGTCGTTGCTACAGTACAATTTCATTTCTCGTACCACCCCCCCCCCTCTCTCTCTCTTCCCCCTCTCTCCCTCCCTCCCCCCCCCCCTCTCTCTCTCTCTCTCTCTCTCTCTCTCTCTCTCTCTCTCTCTCCTCTCCTCTCTTCTCCACCCTCTCCTCTCCTCTCCTCTCCTCTCCTCTCCTCTCCTCTCCTCCTCTCCTCTCCTCTCCTCTCCTCTCCTCTCCTCTCCTCTCCTCTCCTCTCCTCTCCTCTCCTCTCCTCTCCCTCTCTCTCTCTGTTGATGTAAGGCTCTCGGCACCAATCAACCGTCGTCATCACGAGGAAGAGAAGGATAAGAAGTTCATGTAT